AAATTAGCGTAAATGTAGTTAAAGCTGTGTTTGATATTATTGAACCATCACTGTTTCACATTTTTAATCTTTCTTTAAAATCCGGTATTGTACCGGAGAAATTAAAAATTGCTAAGATTATACCTATTTTTAAAAATGGCGATGATACAAATATGTCCAATTATAGACCTATTTCTGTCTTACCATGTTTCTCTAAATTGTTAGAACGAATTATGTATGATAGACTTAACAACTATTTAACTGAGAACAATATTCTGTATAATAAACAATTTGGGTTTAAAAAAAATCATTCAACGGACCATGCAGTAGTCGATCTAATAAATTATGTATCCAATGGGTTCAATAATGATTGCTATACATTAGGAGTTTTTATTGATTTGTCAAAAGCATTTGACACTGTTAATCATGATATTCTAATAAAAAAACTAGAAATGTACGGAGTATTAAACAATAACTTACAATGGTTTAAAAGTTACCTTTCAAACAGGATACAATACATAATATATACAGAAAATGAAGAAAAAAAACATATCATAACTTGTGGTGTTCCCCAGGGATCAATCTTAGGGCCCTTATTATTCATACTGTTTATTAATGATTTGTATTTAGCATCCAAAATTCTAAACGTTATTTTGTTTGCTGATGACTCAAATCTTTTTTACTCTAACAGAAATATTAAAGATCTGTTTAGAATTTTTAATGAAGAGTTATTAAAAATAAATGAATGGATTACGAATAATAAACTTTCATTAAATGTTGGGAAAACTAAATTTATGTTGTTCCACAAACCTAGTAAAGGTGATAACCTTTTTTTAAAACTACCTGATCTCTTTATGAACAAAAAAGTTATTAAAAAGAGTCAACTATTAACTTTCTAGGAGTGATATTAGATGAAAATATATCATGGAAATATCATATTAGATCTATTGAAAATAAAATCTCCAAAAATATTTCAATGCTATATAAAGTTAAACCTTTTCTTAATACGGAATCTTTAAAAATTATATATTTCTCATTTATTCATAGTTATATTGTAATCTTGCATGGGCAAGTACCAATTATGGGAAGCTCAAAAAAATTTATAGCAAACAAAAACATGCTTGTAGGATTATTTTTGGCGTTAACAGAACTGTTAATGGTGAATCTCTTTTAAAGAAACTTAATGTGCTTAATATTTACAAACTTAATATATACCACGTTATGCTATTTACGTTTAAAACAAAACATGCGTTATCTCCTAATATATTTCAGTCTTACTTTACCGAAATATCTCATAAATATCCCACTAAATTTTCATCTGATAATTTTGTTATTCCAAGATCTTATTCTCAATTCATTTTGTTATTCCAAGATCTTATTCTCAATTCAAAACTCAATTCATTTCAAATTCAATACCGGGGACCATTTATATGGAAAGGTTTTTTAAAAAATATAATTAAAAATAAAATTCTTCGAGGCATCTCCTTAGAACAATTCAAAAGAGAATCTAAACGTTTTCTATTAGAAAAAACTTTCGATTTTAAAGATTTCTTCTAAAATCACCTAAAATAATTAAACCTGAAAAAGTCATCACTACTCATTTACTATTGTCTTGTGTATCTTGTTTATTTCTTATTAAAATAAAAAATATATATACTATTAATTTTGAACAGACAAATAACATTTATTCGATTTATTACTTGTGTCTTATATCTGTCGAACTAATATTGTATTGTACTTCAATTTTTAACCTTTTAGTTTTTAACTTGTAACTTTGTGACGTTAATGTAAACGGGGCTTGGCGATAAGACAGTTTATGTCTTCTTCTTGCTCTTGCCAATTTTTATAAATGAATGGTTTTTTCTCATTGTAAATTTAATTATACGGCAAAGAAAATATAATAATAATAATAAATCAGTTAACTTTCTTGTCGCAGGTCTGCTTGGAGTTTCTTTATATGAGCTAGAAGTACCTTGACAAAGTGGATTCTCTTTTTGTTCTTCAGACTTTTTGTCTGTTTTTGTACTTCACTGTGGTGATGATCGCGCTTTTTACTACTTCGAGTCAACATTTTTCCAATATCTACATTGATAAAATTAAATTTATTATTTAACTAAAAATCATTGAAAACCAATCAAAATGATTTAGAAATGATTCTTTGATTATTGCGATTCTAAATATAAAAAAAAAAAAAATTATGCAAAAAATGGGGAACATGTTCAGAAGCCTTGAGGGACCTCAAGATCACTTATCAAAAATCTGTAAAAATTATTTTTAGACATAGTAGGAAAATGGGAAAAAACTTCACTTCACGACGTTTTGACACTTTATACTAATCCTGAACAACCATAAAGTATTATATGAGCGTGTTGAGTATAAGAGATTAAACACTTTTCAAGTAAATTACTAATTTTTTAAATAAAGACAAAAAAGTCTTTTGCTTTTTCTTATATTTGGTTACAAAATTGACTAAAACATTTTTTTTTAAGTTGAAATGTTAAATGTAACATTAACTTTTTTTTTTTTTTTTGTTGATCTGAATACCTTTTTATTAAACATGATTTTGTTTAAATTATGTTGTTATATTTATCAAAAGTCTTTGAAAAAATCAAAAGAAATTACATTCGATGACAATGAATTATTTGATGAAATTCGGAGAACTAATTTATACTGCACAAAATAAAAGTTTTCTTCTTGGAACTCACAGTCTGTTGAATGTGACAAGCGATGGGTTGAAATTTTTTCTCATTTCGAAAGTAATCACTTTTCTTATAACAATTTGTTAAAATTGGCTGAAGCCGCTTTATGTTTGCCAGGTACAAACGCTTTCTTAGAGCGATTGTTTTCGATTGCCAACGATATTTGGACGGAAGGGAAGTCCCAACTTACAATAAATTTAATTTAAGAAAATGTAGCAGCTCAGATATTGCAGAAAAAATTAAAAAAGATGTTGCTGAAAACAATTCATTCTTATAAAAATATTTGTAATTTAAAAATGAAAACATTGTTTAATATTTTTTTCTATAAGTTAGTTTCTTCACATGCTATTTTAAAATAAATAAACGAGTTTTTACTAAAACCCATTTAAACCAGACCCGTAGCAAGGGCGGGAGTAAGAAGGATACATGCTCCCCTACGCTTTGTTATGTTTGGCCACTAAAAAATTGAAATTAAACATATATTTAAAAATTGTTGGTACAACACAAAAAAAGGCAAGGCGAAATCGTCTTGAAAATATAAAAAATATAACTAATCATTTTATTAAATTTTTGCAAAATCTTATCAAAAGTAGGTGAATATAGACGCTAAAAAAAGTTACCCTTGGGCGCCTTTATTTTTATTTTATTTTTGGCACCTCTTGAAAAAGTGCTCCCCCGTTAAAGAAATGGTATTTAAATCTGGCTACGGGCCTAATTTAAATACCATTTGCATTTATGCATATTAAATTTATTCCTTGTACGCGTCTGGTATTTTTCAAATATGGTCACCTTAATTCACAATAACTTATTTGTTGGAGTGTTTACTTGTAATTTTGAAGATTGGTGGCTAAGGTACTTAACAATGAATCTTATTGGACTCAATTGTCCACTATGTTAACACAAATTTTTCCTGGTAATAAAAATATCATGTCCAGTTCAGATTATGTTTTAACAGTTCAATGTAATTTAAATGATCTATGTGAAGAAGTTAAAGACAGTGATGAATATTCTACAGATGTTCATAAATGTTTAGTATTTTTATGTGAACAAACAAAATATTATTTGATATAATATTTTCAGAATATCAGGACTATATCGAGGTTGATTTATCAACCTCGATATAGTCCTGATATTCTGGCTTATAGTTTTTATCTTAAATGCATGTCGCAGTGCAAACATTTATAACTTCTTTATTATCATCATACAAAGATGTTGCTCAGTATCATTCAAAGATGTTGTTTCAATAAAAAAATATGACTGCTGTCTATCTAAAAGACATTACTTTAAAATCCAGATAACATGAACACGTTGGCCCAACGTCGGGCCAACGTGTTTTATTTAAGCTAGAAAAATTACATCGGTATAACGTAGGAAATGCAATGTTTTAAATGTGCGTTATGGTTTTTTGCCCTTAGCTTACTCAATAATTAAGTAAACAAAGCGCAGAAAACCACATGCACATTTAAAACATAGTTATGCCGTAGTAAATTTTCTATCCAAATATAACACGTCGGCCCGACGTCGGGCCAACGTGTTCTTGTTTTCTCGTGTTAATTTTTTAACTACTGAACAGTTATTGTCCCGTTGTTTAAATTAATTAGCTTAATATTATCCAATTATTTTTAGTTTAATTTTTTTTATTATTATTATTATTTTTATTTTTTAATTGCAAAAACTTACTTCCATACTTAATAAATAATGTACACAATTAAAATATTTAAACATAGTATTTATGGATAGAGTAAATAGTTGGTAAAAAAAAGCGACTTATGGTCTGCATTTTTAGTCAAAACTGTAAAAGAAAAATTCTTGGCAAACGTTTGATTAAAATACTTAATTTATTACTTTTTTTTTTATTACGTTTTTATTACGTTTACATATACTTTTTTGTAGTTGTTTTTTTTTTTTACATTTTTTTACTTTTTTTTTAAAAAACTTTTTTATACGTTTAAGCATTAAAGTATAAAAAATGGAAATGAACTATTTATAAAGTATAAAAAATGGAAGTGAACTATTTTTTTTTTATTAGGTTTACGTTTTTACGTTGTTTTTTTTGCGTTGTTTTTATTACATTTTTTATTATGTTTAAGCATCGTAAGTATCAGATATGGAAGTGAACCACGCTCAATAATTTTGCTTGCATTTGTTAAACATTTAAACAAATTTAAAATTTAACTTGATTTACAAAATAGTTATTTATAATTTTATAGGTCTTTTTCTTTTTTAACGACGCTATGGTAATTTGCTTTAATATCGCGTACTTTTGAAAACAAACTGTTTTTTATGAAAGTTAATGATAAAAGTTTTAATATATTGAAACAGTTTGCATCAAGAGAAGTAGTGCTTTAATATTACTGAAACAGTTTGTATCACGCGAAGAAGTAATTTAATATCACTGAAACAGTTTGTATCACGCGAAGAAGTGGTTTTACGAGAAACGAAACAGTTTTATGCAATCATGCATCATGCGAAGAAGTGGACGAAAGATTTATTTTAGTTAAAACAGTCAACACAAACAAATCGTAAGTTTCTTGAAATATTTTTTATGCAATTTATTTTACAGACGTGAGGCAGAAGTAGTTTTGTGGAGTTTCGTTCAAGAAACATATATACACATAGATACTTTTTGGAAAGAAGAAAAGCTCATCTTGAATTTTTAAAGACTTTTAAGTATGGTTCCTAACTTTTTTATGGGATATTTTGCTCCTGAATATTAGGTTGATGTTCTCATATGAATTTTGGTCGAAGAAATATAGAGTCAGTTTTTTTTATTATTCAAATAGTTTGTTTCATGCATTTTCATGAGAGTTTTGCATGAAAATTTGGTTGATGTTGTCACATGGATTTGTAGTTGAAGATATGTAGAGTCTATTTTTTTCACTATTAAAATAGTTTGCTTGATGAATTTTCTATTAACTCGCCAAATTTCAACGAAAAATAATTATAAGCAATTAGTCTAATTAGTGTTGGACTTTAGGTACCTAATTTCGGTTTTTCTGTTTGTTTTTTTGGTAAGCGAAATCCGGATGGGACCGAAATCCGGATAAAGATGCGATGTTTAATTAAAGTTTTATTAAACTTCGTTTTACATACTAAAAATATATATACATATTTTATATTTATAAAATTTATAAATGTTGTTCAAAGTAAATTTATTTATTTAGGTTAGTTATTTTGGTGTCATTGGCCAACATTAAAGATATGATAAGGAGAGTATTAACAGCTTTGATAACTAATGTTTTAACTAGTGAATTAAATTTCATGGAACACGGGGAAAATATGCCTTTTCAGTCCTTATGATAACAAAAATTGTCAATGGTAATTATGAAACTCATATTTTTTACATTTTTTATGCAATTTAAAGAAATGCCTATTGCATATTTTTTATACCATTTTTTATAAATTTAAATATATTTAAATGATGCTTTAATTTCTGATGCATGATGCTTTAATTTCTGTTTCCGCCTCCAAAACTTTATCGACCTTCCTACGCCAGTGAGTCTACACCTTTTCAAGATGTAAATGAGAACATGAAAGTTGTAATTAAGAAGTCGTAATATGTAATTAAGAAACACAACATGTAATTGAGAAAACGTTATATGTAATTGAGAAACACAACATGTAAATAAGAAGTCGTAACATGTAATTAAGAAACACAACATGTAATTGAGAAAACGTAAGATATAATTGAGAAATCATAATATGTAATTGAGAAATCGTAACTTGTAATTGAGAACACATAAATTAAAATAGCAAATTCACAGTCTAAGTTTGTAGGTTGTTACAAAAGGTCTTTTTGGACATGAATTTAAGTTATAATCTTAAATTTTGCTTTTGTATACACAAGTAATAATAATGGAATTGAAAGATCGTTGTGTTATATGCCAATACACTATGACCCGAAAGTCTGTGATTAAGCTAAATCCGTGTCAACATTTATGTCACCAAATTTGTTTTCGTCCAGTTCTGGAACAACCAGATTCAAGTTGTCCGATTTGTCGGCATGAAATACACATAACTGAACAAGTTGAAAGGAAACGTTACGTTTTATCTTCTCCAAATGACAGGAGAAGAGTTGTTGAATGTGTGGAGCGATTTGAAGATTGGGTGAATCTCGCGCAAACGCTTGGTATCAAATATAAGACAGCATACAATTGGGTTCGCAGCAGAAATTCAAATTTCATCGGAAAAGGAGGTTTTAAACCGAAAAAGTTGACCGAAGATCAAATCGAAGAATCATTAACATGGATTGAAAATGATTGTCAATTAACATTGGTGGCCATTAAAACAAAGATATTAAGACAATTTAACATAAACGTTAGCACAACAACAATAGCAAATTACCTCGAAGGCAGATTGTTCTCATTAAAAAAAGTGCACAAGGAGCCTTCTACAATGAACAGTTATGAAAACAAACAAAAAAGAGCTGAATATGTTAGAAACATCAACGAACATATCAGAAACGGTCGTCAGATAGTTTGGTTGGATGAAACAAATTTTAACCTTTTTTGTAGAAAAACGCAAGGACGCGCGAGACAAGGAAAAAGAGCAATTATGAAAGTACCTGCTTCAAAAGGTTTAAACATACACTTGATCGCAGCTATTTCAACTACAAATGTCGTCATGATAGAAACTCGCAGGGGATCATTTAAAGCAGATTCCTGTAACGAGTGGATGTTGGCTATGTTTCATCAGTGGGTTACATCCGGGAATCGTTTGGAGGATTTGGTCGTCGTAACAGATAATGCTCCTTGTCACGCTCGTTTGCAAAGGGTGTTTGATAATTCACCAGCTCAGTTGTTACGTTTGGGACCTTACAGTCCAATGTTGAACCCGGTGGAAACGATCTGGTCCAAAATTGAAAGTAACGTTAAAACTGCAATTCGCATTCCACCTGTATTAGGTGACGGGATTGCGGAACAGCGCATGCAGTACTTAGAACGAATTGTAATTGAGGCGAAAAATACTATAATGGGAGGAGATTGTGCACGTGCGGTACAACACACAACCATGCACTATGCAACTATTTTAAATATGGAAGACGTACAAGTTGGTGCTTAAATGATCAATGAAGTGATTTTTAATTATATAATTTTTAATTATAATTTTTAATTGAATTATAAATTTTTCCCTAAAATGTTTTTAGTGTTTATTATGTTAAATTCATTTGCCCAAAAATTATAAATTTTTCCCTAAATTTTCCCTAAAAAATTAAATTTACGCTACAAATCTTGCGTCATTTTTAAGTGCGTCATTTTATACGCTCCATTTTTTTACGCGCCACTTTTTTTAAGCGCCATTTTTCACTTACTCCTTCAAAGCGATATCTAAATTAAAATTTTCGTGTTCTCAATTACATCTTTCTATTTCTTAATTACAACTTACATTTTCTCAATTACATGTTACGATTCTTAATTACAATTTTCGTTTTCTAAATTACATCTTATGTTTCTTAATTACAACTTACGTTTTCTCAATTACATCTTACGTTTCTTAATTACAACTTTTGTTTTCTCAATTACATCTTACGATTCTTAATTACAATTTTTGTTTTCTCAATTACATCTTGAAAAGGTGTAGATGCATTAAAAATTTAAATAAAAAATTCATAAGATTATGCTGCAATGACTGTTTTATATTCATTCCTTGTTTAACCAATTCTCCATAGTTATGGCGAAAAACTATACTTGTTAAATTTGACAAGGCACTTTATGAAAATTATAAATAAATTTAAATTTTCTTTTGTTTCATTAGATGCAGTTCGACTTAATCCATTTACAAAAAAAGCTACAGCTGCTGAAGTAGAAGACGTATTGAAGAAATGGCTTTAAAACGCAAAAGATAGGAGCCCAGATCGCGAGTTGAACGACGAACTTGCAAATAATATAGAAGACGAATAAAAACAATTTGCCACTATTGCAATATTGCAAAAAAATATTATCTTGGCTATATGAAAATTTTTTTAATTCCATTTTTTAATAGTATATATATATATATATATATATATATATATATATATATATATATATATATATATATATATATATATATATATATATATATATATATATATATATATATATATATATATATATATATATATATATCATGGCCTACTTTATTTATACGCCGGATATTTTACATTTTGAAGTAAAAAAAAAGGCCAGTTTTCTGGAAAAGTGTTTTTAAGAAAGTAGCTTTGGAAGTTCAAAAAGATGGTTAACAAATGTTGCGTCGTAAATTGTCGTTCAAATTATCATAATTATGGTGAAGTATCTACAGTAGTATTTTCGTTTCCAAAAAATGAAGAGTTAAAAAAATATTGGATTAAATTTGTAAATAGAAAAGATTGGACACCTACTAATTCTTCCGTTATATGCATCAAACATTTTGAAAAAAAATATTATAAGAAAGGTAATAAGAATCAACGTTTTAGATTAATAAAAAATTTAAAGCCTATTCCAACTATTTTTGACTGCACAAATTTGACTGAAGAAGGTTCATTACAACTTATAAAATCTTCTAATTCATTAAGAAAATCACCAACTAAAAGAATATTTCAGCCAGATCAATATGAACAGTTTTTATTGAATGATTTGATTAATAGCTTTAACGATATTACTGAAAGTTTTGCTCCAGATGGTTTTTCATTCTTGAAGTATGATGATCATGTAATTTTTTATAAATTGAGTCATAGTACTTTATCTATTCCAGAGGTTACAGAGTGCATTCGTGTAAACAATGAGATGCATGTTAAATTATTTTACAGAGGTTCACCTCTGCCATTACCTCAGTGGTTTTGTCAAGGAAGAGATTGTTGTTTATCTTGTAAAAGTATGCTTCATAATTTTCCTACCTACATTAAATTACAAGCCGAACAATTTTCATCTGTATTGACTGAATTACAGCAAATTAAATATATGAAAAAACCTATTTATTCAGCCAATATTATAAGGTATTCACTGATATTACGATATACTTCTATGCAGTCAAACCAACTTTTGCGTGAAGAATTGCCTTTACCATCATTATCATTACTTAAAAAAATAACTAGTGGAAATATTGATGCTCTAAGTTGTGCAAAACGTTTAAAATTAGAAGGTAAGATATCTCAAGACATTTGCTTGATTTTTGATGAAATGTACTTGCAAAAATGTGAGGAGTATTTTGCTGGAGAGATGATTGGTAGTGATGAGTCTGGAGAAATGTATAAGGGAATAGTTTGTTTTATGATAGTTGGCCTGAAACAAAACATTCCATATGTGATCAAAACGTCTCCTGAAAAAACAATCAATGCTGAATGGTTGAAAGAAGAAATTTTTGAATGTCTTCGTATTATAACTGAATGTGAATTTAATGTTAGAGTTATTGTGTGTGACAACCATTCTGCTAATGTTTCTTGTTTTAAAAAAATCCTTTGTGCATCGAATCAACAAGCTGAAGATTTGTTTTTTATTTACAATCTAAAAAAAATTTACCTCTGTTTTGATGTTGTACATCTTATTAAAAACATCAGAAATAATTTGTTAAATTGCAAAAGATTTTTATTTCCAGATTTTAACTTTAATGGATTTAAAGATCCTATAATTGTATGTGGGGGAGAAATTAAATGGAGTACCTTCCACAATATTTATGAAAAAGACCTCACTCTTGATGCTGGTTTGCGTAAAGCACCAAAAATAACAATGAAAGTGTTACATCCTGGCAATTTTAAACAAAATGTTTCTTTAGCACTTGCAATTTTTGATGAAACTACATCAGCAGCGATTCACTCATATTTTCCAGATCTTAAAAGTAGTGCAGATTTTCTTACATTATTTAACAAATGGTGGGTTTTATCAAATTCTAAATGTCAGTATTCAGCATGTAATATTTTAGGTAATGCAGTCGTTTCTGGTGATAAAAAACCTGAATTTCTTCGGAAATGGCACATTGGATTGAAGTTTGGCAATCACAAAAGATACTAAACTGTGAGAAGTTTACTTTAAGTGTTCAGACAGCTGCAGCACTAATAAGAATACTTAATAGTCATGCCTCATTGATCGAGGACTTGCTTAATGATGGATATCACTTTGTTTTAACTGCGAGATTTCAAAGTGACCCATTAGAAAGGAGATTTGGACAATATAGACAAATGAGCATGTTATATGGACAATATAGACAAATGAGCATGTTATATGGACAATATAGACAAATGAGCATGTTATATGAATATAGACAAATGAGCATGTTATATGGACAATATAGACAAATGGACAATATAGACAAATGTTATTTGGACAATATAGACAAATGAGCATGGACAATATAGACAATATAGACAAATGAGCATGTTATATGGACAATATAGACAAATGAGCATGTTATATGGACAATATAGACAAATGAGCATGTTATATGAATATAGACAAATGAGCATGTTATATGGACAATATAGACAAATGGACAATATAGACAAATGTTATTTGGACAATATAGACAAATGAGCATGGACAATATAGACAATATAGACAAATGTTACATGCATCCAGCTGCTGTCTTGTAGAAGGCCTCCTAGGCAAAGACTTAAGGGGTAAACAGATTCTATCTGTTGACCAGCCTCGCACCCCTTCCTCATCTATTAGGCTGGCGCAGATGTATTTTTAATACATTGTTTCCAGTTTAGGATGTTGAACGCTGGATCTTCTTGACTCAATGCGTGGGTATTGCTTGTGTCTCTATTTTTATGACTGGGCAACTCATTCTATTATCTCCTAATGAGGGTACAGCTCTAAAACTCAGTTTTATGGTTCTGAGGCCGGCTGGTAGTCAGGTTTCCCGAACTCTGTGGTAGCTCTCAGAGAGGCTGATTCCATCAACAGCCGAAAAATATCAGAGTACTAACAGTGCCATGTTGCGCATGGATGGTGTCCCTGTTTGTACTTTTGGTGTGCATTGCAGAGGCCACATTTGGAGCCCTTTGTTACGGCTTAGGGTTTATTAATAGTAATGAGGCTATTGCTTAGTTGTTAAATAGTGTACTGAGTACTATCTATACTTGAGTCAAGTTCTTTATAAATTTAAAATGACTAAAGTACCTAAAACTAAAAAACACAAAAAACCATCGTCATCACCAAGTTCTCTAAACCTATCATTTACTAATATTCGTGGTCTTCGAAGTAACTTTTCTTCTGTTGAGTCTTATCTCTTGCAAAGTTCACCAGACCTACTTGCTCTTTGTGAGACTAATTTGAGTTCGGCTGTCCCATCTTGTGATCTTAGTGTTGATGGTTATCTTCCTTTAATTCGTAAAGACTCCAATAATCACATGCTTGGCCTGGGCATCTACATTCGTAAGAACTCACCCATTTGTCGTGAAACTAGGTTTGAATCTACAGACTGTTCATTTATGTGCTTTCGTTAAGCACAACTTCACTCTATCGCCTTTCTCTTTGTTCTATATCGCTCTCCTTCATCCCAAGATTGCACTATTCTTGATGTTATTTCTGATCAAATTGACCAAGCCCTCTCTCTTTATCCATCGGCCAATATCGTCGTTGTTGGTGACTTTAATGCCCATCACACCGATTGGCTTGGCTCTAGTGTCAGTGACTCTGCTGGCGTTAAGGCCCTCAACTTTTGCCTTTCTTAATCTCTAACTCAAATAGTCAACTTTCCAACTCGTTTTCCAGACAACCCTAATCATTTACCTTCTCTACTCGACTTATGTCTTGTTTTGGATCCTAGTCAGTGCTCAATTTCTCCACATTCACCCTTAGGTACTTCTGATCACGGTTTGATCTCTCTAAAACTATTATCAAATTCTTCTACTTCATCAGAATCCCCCTATCATCGTACCACATACAACTACCTTAAAGCTGACTGGGACTCTTTCCGTGATTTTCTTCGTGATGGCCCTTGGGTAGAAATCTTTCGTCTTCCTGCTGACAAATGTGCTTCTTACATAACTTCGTGGATTCAGGCTGGCATGGAATCTTTTATTCTCTCTCGACGATTCCAGGTCAAGCCTCACTCTTCTCCTCGGTTTTCCTCACATTGCGCTGCAGCAATTTCTAATCGAAACCGTTACTTCCATATCTATCAGCAAAACAATTCTCCAGAAAACAGACATCTGTTCACTATCGCCAGAAACCATTGTAAAAAGGTTTTGTCTGACGCCAAAGCTCGCTATTCCCAGGTCATTAAATCTCGTATCTCATCACAAAAATTAGGCTCTCGAGACTTCTGGAGAATCTTTAACAGTATCAATAATAAGGGCAAATCTGTTATTCCTTCTCTCTTGTATGGTTCAGACTTTGTCACCTCACCTAAAGACAAAGCTGAATTGTTTGCTAAGAACTTTTCATCAATATCATCTCTTGATTCCACTAGTTGCGTTTTACCTGACATAGCCGTCAAACAGGTTGATCCCTTGCTTGACATTCGCATCACTTCAGCTTCTGTATCTAAAGTAATTTCCTGCTTAGACTCTTCAACAGCTTGTGGTCCTGACAACATTCCTGTTGTAGTCTTGCAGAGGTGTTCTCCGGAGCTTTCATCCATACTTTCTAAACTATTTAACAAGTGCTTATCAGAGTCTTGTTTTCCATCATGCTGGAAAGCAGCATCTGTTTTCCCTATTTTCAAAAATTCCGGAGAGCGATCTGATTCATCTAACTACCGCCCCATTAGTCTTCTTCCTGTCATAAGCAAGGTTTTTGAATCTTTAATCAACAAACACTTAATCTCTCATCTTGAATCAAATAACTTACTTTCTGATCATCAATATGGATTTCGGTCTTCTCGTTCTACAGCTGATGTGCTAACAGTAATAACCGATAGGTTTTACCGTGCATTAGATAGAGGTGGAGAGGTTAAGGCTATCGCACTTGACATTTCTAAAGCTTTTGATAAAGTTTGGCATGCTGGTCTTCTCCATAAGCTTTCTTCTTATGGTGTAGCT